TCAGCATTACAGAACACAAGCTGCTCATGCAAATCAGCCATGTGCTGACGCTTCTCATATGAACAAGCTGAGGTCTGGCATAGGGACTGTGAGGTGCGAAAGTGAGGGTCGTTGCCTAGCATGTGGTCGCTACCCAACTGGGAGCACAACAATAGCTCCCCCGTCTTCGGGAACCTTATGTCTGAGGAATGTTCCATCGCCCTGCACATCAATCCGATCAGTGAACTCAAAAAGAAAATTGTCATTTACAAACATATGAGGTCGCATTTGGGACCGGGAGAATGTGCAATATATGCGGGGTTCGTTTATTCGCAAAGTGATATGTTTCACACACGTAAGTACGTCTCTCTCTCTCTCTCTCTCTCTCTCTCTATATATATATATATATATATATATATATATATATATATATATATGTATATCTTTTTATTCAATATATATATATATATATATATATATATATCTTTTGGTTGAATAAAAAAACAAAAAACAAAATCAATAAATCAATCAATCAATCTATCCAATCAACCACCCACCCAACCACCCAACCACCAAACCAACCAACCCACCTAACCACCTAAGCACCCAACCACCCACATAACCAGTCACCCACCAAACCGCCCACCCACCCACCCATCCACCAACCCGCCGTCCCACCACACACCCACCCACCCACCCACCACCCAACCAATAAACCAATCCACAAACGCACTCACCCAAACATAATACACAAATGTACGACCCTCCCAACCACCCAACCAACCACCACATCCACCCAACTATCCACCACCCAATAACCGTCATCTCACCACCCGACCGACCACTCAACACCCCCATCTTTTGGAGCCCGGCCATCCAACCGGCCAACCAACCAACCGTCCCTCCTAACCCCCCATCCACCCAACCACCCACCTAGCCCCACAACCAACCACCCACCCACCTAACCACGCAACAACCGAACCACCCAACCACCCACCCAACCACCTAACCAACCACCTAACCAACCAACCAACCAACCAACCAACCAACCAACCCATCAAACCATCAAACCGCCCACCTAACCACCCAACCAACCAAGCAACCAGCCACACAACCACTCATCCATCCGCTCAACCACCCAACCAACCACTTAACCCAACCGCCCAACCACCCAACTAACCAACCAACGTACTACTGTTCGTAATTATGAATATATATTTTTTACAGCCGAGAGACTGGACTCATTGTGTCCGTCGCTTATCGTACGCATTGTGTTGCCGTCRTCTTTCGCAGTGTCGTCRGCTAGCAATTSAGACTGTTCGTAATYGYYAGGTTCACTTATTCAACCTTGCGACAYAACATGGSCRACGTTGTTGTTGTTGTGAAARWGGTTGTGGRTGGAAAGGAAATCGTCGTGAGGGAGACAGTGTGTGAGCGCGATACTGAAAACGAAAGAGACTTTGAACACTGGGAAGGGGTTGTCGCCACGAAAACACGTGTGTACTACGCGTTCATCGATGACACCCTCGCTTTGAGGGTCGTGGCAGGGCTGGGGTACGACGACCATGATCGCCTTGATGAGGTTGTGATGCACGCAAAAAAGCTTTCGCATGTCGTTCCTGACGCCTGCGAACCCCCCGTCTTCGATATGATTGGTCATTTGCTAAGGTGCATCGTGTCAGTCGTTGCGGTCGAGCATGTGGAAAGGTTAGCACCCAACGCATGGTATTTCTCCAAACTCGACAGACCGTTGCAACGTCGTACTTTTCTCCACGGAGATGTGCGCACTGTGTTGCCAATGGACGGTTGCCGACAACAGTACCAAAGTGTCAACGAACCATCATCCCGATCGTCTCATGCTTTGTCTGAAACAGGTGGGTTGACTTACAAAATCGTAAAGGTTTTTAACATTCGACAGTGTTCGAGACCGCGACTACCTGCTCGTCCCATACATATGTTTAAAGTGTGTTCCCCCTCCCCATGCGGTACATGAAGAATATCATGTTTGCGTTATTCGTTGCTCGATCGTCAGGTTCATAACTTACGGTGTCAATTTATGTGAATTGCAGCACTTTTTGAACGCCATACGAAAGAAGCGACGATGCATTGCGCGCCAATGATTGTCCGATGTTACCACACCACAAAACTGATAGGCGGCGACACCGTATACTATTACGAATCAATGACTCCCGTAACAGATCCTGTTAGCGATGCAGCGGGATACCGCAATGAATACAAGAAGGTGGATCGTCATTTCGTTATCAGCATGGAGGAGGAACGAGTCGTTAGACTCACTACAAAAACTTATATTCACGTTCGTGTCCTAATGTCTAAGTCAACCACGTACTTCAGTACCTTTGATCTCAAACCGGTCGACGGTGATTTCATGCATGATATCGTATTCTCTCTTGTACATCGTATACTATACACACACTACGGGACGGTCGCTCAGGACGGCGTCTGACGCCTGGTCGTGTCACCGCCCTATTTTGTCTCTAATGGCGAGGATTTCTCTGCCATGTTTTATCCTTGCAGTGCGACCCAACGATAAGTACCATTCGTTAATTTTTTTCTTAGTTTCTTCGTCGTTGGAGAGAGAGAAAATGATGGTTTCAATAATTGTATTCTCTCTTTATACATATGCAAGTCCTATCTCCCATGTGTTTATTATATGTTTTCAGTAATTATATTTTTTTTGCATACTTTGTGTTCTGAAATTTGTTTTCGTTTTCGTTATGTGGAGGTACAGTATGTACAGTACTAAGGTAAAATATTCACCCTTTCCCATACATGGACCGTCGACGACGCTGGGCTGGCGTGCAGGCCGACGCAGTAGTATTTGGAAATGGGACAGATACTGATCCTTTCCGCGACGAGGAGCTGACATTCGTCGAGATTAGGAGGCGGTGGCCGGGACCCGCAGCGCTTTTGGAGGAGGCTGTGACTATTGCTGGCCTGGAGGAACATCTCCAACAGTGCATGAATCTGCTTATTGGTCGTGCAAATCTCGAACCCAAGCAGAAACGTTACAATGGATATGTCACTTTTTCTCGGCTGTGCGGGTTCGTTGTTTTCCGACAGAGATTGTCAGATGAGTTCCAAGACGCAATGCGAGAACGATGGCCAGATACAATTATTCGAGGTTTTGAACTATGACAGTGTGATCCTCCTGAAAACGCGCGCCCACGTCAACGTGCGCGGCGGTAAATGCTTCACGAGAGATAGAGAGGTAGATAGATAGATAGATAGATAGATAGATAGATAGATAGATAGATAGATAGATAGATAGGGAGAGAGAGAGAGAGAGAGAGAGAGAGAGAGAGAGAGAGAGAGAGAGAGAGAGAGAGAGAGAGAGAGAGAGAGATCACGCGTCCCTGACCACCCGCGCAGCCACGATTTGACATCTTGTGTTGAGAGTTTTTAAGCGGTCGTTGATGTGAAGTCCTTTCCTGCAATGCTGACATTTGTTATTCCCTTCATGCTGGCTTGCGTTTGTTACGACATGTACCATTATCTCTTTGATGTACGATATGAGATGGAAGA